CAAATCTGGAGACATTCATATGTGCGTAAGATAGAACTTTATATCAAAGAGTAATTGTTTATTAAGAAAACATCCCAGCCCAGTCCTGCTCAAGCCCACAAGTCCAATATTGGCCCATAAGTCCAATACTAGTCCATAAATTCCTGTTCAGGCTCACGTAGCTAATGTGCACTGATGCTGAATGCATGACGGTCACAGGCCAGGGGGTGGAAAGTCTATGGAACCAGTGGCAGTGGACATATCTCCAGAGCTCTGGCTGCCATCAGCATGGCTCCACGTGTCTCGTCAATAGGAACGTAAAGCAGAGTGTGTGCTCCCTGGCCAGGGAGGAAGTTCCCAGAATCCTCATGAGAAGGGCACGCCCACAAGGAAGCATCAGGCTGTGACCCTGACAGGCTAGACTCCACCCCTTCACTCTTACTATCCTCAAGTTGACATGCGATTATGTAGCTAACACAGTCACTGACTCAATTAGTCAAGCTGAGACTGCTCAATCAGTTACGGAAACCGTTAGATGGCCTTTCCAAAGGGGTGGTGGTTATTAGTGTTAGCAAGTCAGTTCCAACTCCATGGTGACCTAACAGAGTGAAACACTGCCCAGTCCTGGGCCAGCCTCGAGGAACTCAAAGGTAATAAGGGACCTTTTTAGGTAAGAACTGTTAGAAGAGAAGTTTTCAACAAGTGAGCCATTATCTTTCTAGAAAGAACCACAAGTTGCATTAAGATTGTTCCAGACTTTTTCTATTAATACAGATATTGGGGATTTTGCCCACCCCCCGAATTCGCAAACGCTATACATAGCTGTTAGTTTTTAGTTAACATATGATCATCTTTGTCAATTCTTCATATTTTCATGACTTTTATTCACATGTTTCCGTTGCTGGGTGTTTAGATTTGCTTTTTTGGCTATTTTTAATGTGGCACAAATTGCAGACAAAGTCATACTGAATTCCCAGAAGTGGAATTCCCGTGTCAAAGGACAGACCAGCCTAGAATCTCATCAAGTTTCACTGAATATTTGCAACTCATGCATATTACCTACAGTGTAACACCTCACATCCAATGGCCCTGGTCTAAGCATTTAATGTTGATTAACTCATTAATCCTCACAAAACGAGGGACATGCTATTGTCTCCATTTTGCAGATGGCGAAACTGAGATAAATGGCTGGGCTGGAAGCCAGGAGCAGGCAGCCCCAGAGCCTGACCTTGAGACATAGGCCAGGAAGCCAAAGATGGCCGGTGTGGCTGATGGATCTGAACTCATGGCTCCACCACTCATGGAGAAGACCTTAGGAAATGGCTCTCTCTCCATGCCATTGGTCTCATCTTTAAAATGGACACAAACGGAATACTTCCCAACGTTCTACTCCTTTTACAATAAAATGATATTGCATCATGAAGTAAGTACTGCCAACAGTACAGTCGACAGGGCTGTTTTGGTGGCAGCAAGAGTCCTATCCAGCCAGGATAGGCTAGCCAGCTAGGATCCCCAGTCCTTTCTCCCCACAGAAGAAACCATCTATCTCATGTGCGCTTAGGAACAAGAAATGCTTTACTTCCCAAAGATCTAACAAGGCGTTCCTTATGTTCCTTAAGCAGGCTCCTTATGGAAGGTCTGAGCTGTACATCCATCTTAAGCTTACCAGCAAGTGTGAACACAAGGAGGCAAGATTAAGCCACTAGGGAAAGGCTACCAGTAGAGAAATGGAAAAATGGTCAGTTTAATAAAGAGTATATGTTCCAACTGGATCAGAGGCACTTTGCAGGGCACAGTGGGAAAGAGCCAATGAGAGTAAAGATTCCCCCCCTTCTTGCCTTTCTTAGCACAGCAGTGGATACAGGTACAAGGAGGCAAACTGCCTAGCAAGTGCCATATGGAAGCACAATGAATAGACTTCAGTCTTTGGGAAGTTTCTGAATTAAGTTTTGGATTCAAACATCACGTCTGATATACTGACATGAAACATGGTCATAAAGCCATAGAAAGATGGGACTCCAATGTTTGAAGAGCAGTTTATCGATCTCGCCCGAAATGGAATGTTTTTCCAAGTAGCTGCCATCATCTCACTCCTAAGCATCCCATAAAACACGTACAGGTTGGCCTATGCAAAGTGGTGATTTACTTTTGTAAGGTAAACCGCTTTTAAAAAATAATTTTAAACCATTAAGGTATAACACACACCTTCAAAAGTGCACCAATGGTCAATGTTGTGTGTGAAGTTTCTACACATGCACGTGCTGTAAGAATTATTGAAGTCGGAGGCAGATAGAGAAAAGCACTCAGCGCTCTAGCTGCCAGATTGGTAGGTTAAGGAGTGGGCTTGATTTGCATTTCTTTGATAAATTGTATTCCCCCACCCCCACCCCATTCTGTAGTTTCCCATGTTCCGTGGTCCTTCTAGTGTTTCAAACTACTACTGAGTTGATTCTGACTCACAGTGACCCTGACAGGGTAGAACTTCCCCTGTGGGTTTCTAAGGCTGTAAGTCTTTATGCAAGCAACCGGCCTCAACTTTACTTTCCAGAGTCCTGAGTGGCTTTGAACTGCTGACCTTGCAGTTTAGCAGCCTAATGCACACTCCAGTCAGTATATTAGTTTCTACTAAAGCTCTTTATCAATTAGTTTCACTTATTGCTGCAAATACTTTTCCAGCTCATTCCTTACTTTTTAAGTTTCTTGGCCACCCACTGTATTTTTAATCTTCATGTAGACAGATTTTCTGTTCCTTTGGGACTTCGGGCTTTGATGTTATGCATTTAAAATGCCCTTGTCTACCTCCATTATTGAGTCTGTACTCCCCTGGTTTTTGTTAGGAGCCATCGGCCCTATGGACAGCAGAACAGAACACCGCGCCGTGCTCACAATTGTTGTTCGAGCCCCTCGTTGTAGCCCCTGTCAGTTCCTCTCCTCTTGGACCCTCCTCATTTTCACTGACCCTCTACTGTTCCTGGGATCTCTACTTTCCTGGTGGCATGTCCAAAGTACAGGAGATAAAGTCTAGCCATCCTTGCTTCTGAGGATGATCCTGGCTGTTCTCCCAAGGCATAGTCGTTTCTTCTTCCGACAGTCCACTTTGTATATTCATTGCGAACACTATAGTTCAATGTAACAATTAACTGGAAATCTTGAATCCATATGATTTATCTTTGCATGATATGAGGCTAGAAGCTCCCTTTGTGGGGAATAGCCAGCTCTGACATTGTATGTGGAATAACTCATCCCTTTTTACACATATTTACTTGAAATGCTATCCTTACTATATATTAAATCTGTTTCTACATTGACTATTTGCTTTCATGGATACTCAGCCTATTTCTACATGGACATTTTGGTAATCCTAGGAAAGTGACTTTCATATCCCTCTAAATTGTTTACCCTAGCTTAAAAATGTCCTGTACAGCCATGCATTCATTATTATTGTTGGGGGCCTTGCTAAGTGCCACCCAACAGGCTAAATAGGAAGGCAAACATCTCACAATGTAGCACAACAGCCACTGGAAGACCACTTACACTGGCGAACCACAGCCGCACTGTGCTGTTCCACGCTACAAGTACAGACGCTTGCCACGCAAGAAAGCTCATCTCCAGATCAATCACCTTCCAGTCTTAAAACCTTTTGTGATTCAGAGGACACACGGTGTCCACCTACATCATTCACCTCTGGGGTTCAGTGGGACTATCCCACTTTCAGTGCATCTTACCATCTATCTGACGGGGCCTACAGAACTGGATGGAGCTGAAGAAAGTTTTCATCCCCTCCACCCAAGTGCCAGCGATAGATCTCTTCTCAGGACAGCTATGTTCCACTCATCCTATCAAAATCCCTATTATATCAAAAAAAAAAAAAGGAAAAAATTTCCTTCATTTCATTCAAAATGCCTTCTATTGCTGAAAGCAAAAGGATTTTAAAAACAGCAAAAATTCAAAGCAGAAATCTGGTCTGGACAAAGTTAAGGGAGCTAAAAGAGTGTGTTCAGTTCCGATTCCCAATGAAAAAGACCAGAGAGGACCTTGAGGCAGCTCGGGGTATGGGTGGGTTGGAAAGAAAGACTAGGATTCAGAGAACCCCAAAAGATCAAGCAATCAAGTGGCATCAGCTTCAAAGACAGGCAGTCTCTAAATTCCTAAGATTTATTTCCTGAGTAATCCCAGCCTGGGACCACCTTGACTTCTGGATGGGGAAAAACCCTCATTGCCTGTCTCTGTTCGCTCCTACTTTCCTTGTGTAGGAGCTACAGTAGTGTAGTGGTGATGTGTTAGGCTGCTAACTACAAGGTCAGCAGTTTGAAACCACCATTGACCTGTGGGACGACAAGGCTTTCTACTCCCATTACGAGTTGCACTCTCAGAAACCCACATGTACAACAGTCCTATTCTATCCTGTAAGGTTGCTATGAGTTAGAATTAACTTGAGAGCGAAGAGTTTTGAGAGTGTTTATAGTAATCCTGGTGGTGCAGTGGGTTCACTATGAGATGAGGGTCAAAACCCAATAGCATCTCCTTTGTAGAAAAATGAGGCTTTCTGCCTCCACAAAGGCTTAGTCCTGGGAACCCACAGGGGCAGTTCACTTTGTCCTGTAGGGTCTGCTCTGAGTCAGAATCGATTCGATGGCAGTGAGGCTGGATTACTTGTCTTGTGATGATTCCATTTTCTACTTCAGAAGGTAGAATGATTTTGATAACCGAGACAGAAAGGGTGTCTTTATGAAAAAAGAAAAAAAACCCACAAAACTTCAACACTTAATACTTCTACCTAAAAAAATTCTCCATACGTTCATTCAATCATAGAGCATTTTAAAATGAAAACAAATATACCTCAGGGTAGCTAAAGCGGATGTAAAAATCGCCTTTCTTCTACAACAGTCTCCTGCATCAGACCTGCCACGGACACCACACAATTGTGACCTACCAGACGTGAGGCTGTGTTATACAGTGCAATCACTTTAAGAACCAAGCAACGAAAAAGGTGATTTTATATTTCTAAAAGGAAACAGGCATTTCAGAAGTCCACGTTTATTTATGCAGATGCCAGCAAATTTAAGCATCACCAGGCACGAAGCTCAGCGGTGTCTGACCTCAAACTCTGGAGCAGGAGATCAAAGGCCAGGCTCGCCCCTGCGTGCAAGTGCACCTCGTTTTATTGCTTGTGGAGGACACGGTTTTTCACAAGTTGAAGGTCAAAGCCCCTGGCGCCGCTTTTCTAATCATGAGCTAACACCATCTCACGGATTTCACCCTTTCCCACCACGCTATTGCCCGATGAACAGACTGCATGCAGTACGGCATAAACCTGGCTTTTAAAGACACCGGGAAGCAAACCATCAACAACGGCCTGACTTGATTTATCGCCATGGTCCGGTCCCAAACCCGCACCAGCTCCGAGGTCCGCCTCTGCGGCTCATGCGCCCACAGGGGACCGCGCAGACTCCGGGCACGCGGCGCCTTGCCTTCACTTCACTCCCCGTGTCACTCCTTCTTCTTCTTACTTGCGGGGCCGTCCAAAACTTCTATCTTGCCTTTGCCACCTGCTGCATTGGGGAGTTTCAAGGTCTCGAGGGTGACCTCGCCAGGGACGCCGACGTCCCCGTCCTCAGAGTCCGAGCTGCTCTCCACGCCATCCTGCGCGCTCCCTGCCCAACTCTCCTCCTCCTTGGCGGCAGGCTGCTCCATCTCAAATAAGGCCACGTCCTGCAGGAAAAAACAAAAACAAAACAAACACCGGAAAAATCATTGCAGGGCGGCTCCCGGGTGGAATGATCATAAAACCGCAGAAACCAGCATGCAGCACTGGTGGCGCACTGGTTAAGCACTCAGCTGCTAACTGCAAGGGTGGTGGTTCAAACCCACCGGCCCTTCAGGGATAAGGATGGGCTGTCCGCTAGTGGAAACGGAAGGCGCGTTCTACTCTGCCCGTGGGCTCTCTAGGAGAGCTGACTCTACAGCAGTGGGTTTGGGGCTTTGGTTGAGAACAATGGGCGATTGAGTCTACTCAGGCTCAGGGGCAAGAAATGCTTTTTAGTTCCGCGTAGGGCTGTGAACTGCAAGATCAGCAGTTCAAAACCACTAGCTGCTCCACAGGATTAAGACGAGGTTTTCTACCCCCACACAGTCTCTGAAACTCACAGGGGCAGTTCTACCCTGTCCTCTAGGGTTGCTATGAGTTGGCATCAACTCGATCACTGAGTTTGGTTTTTGAGTTTTATATCAAATACAATCATAGTTTTATGCTTTTAGTTGCCATGGTCCAAAATCATGATTCATAAAGGGGGGGGGATGTCTCCAGAAAGTTGGTGGAAAGTAGAATTAAAAGATAATGCAATGTTTCCACAAAACATTTGAAGCCCTCTTCTGTTTATATGGGGCCCTGGTTGCGTAGTGGGTCATACATGGGGCAGCTAACCAAGAGGCCTCAGCTGTTCAAACCCACCAGCTGCCTCTTGGGAGAAACTTGAGGCTTTCTGCTCCTATAAAGAGTTATGGTCTTGTAAGACCACGGGCTCAGTTCTACTGTCTTCCACAGCCACTCACTGAGTCGGAACGGACTAGACTGGCGGTGAGTTTTGTTTTGAATTTACAAGAGGTAAAAGGTCCCCTAGAAACTAGTTCTGTATAGACGGAGCATACTTGGAACAATTGATCTCAGCAGCCAGGTCCACGCAGAGGCAAGCACCAGAGTAGGTACTAGAGGCTCAACCAGAAAAAATCAACAACAAACCAAAACAAAGCCTGTGAAGTTGGCCACGTGTCTTCATTCATGTCTATGGCTCCTTTCGCACCACAACTGCCACAACTGCCGAGCCAAGGAACAGGCAAGGAGAGACAATGGAGACAGCCTGATCCACAGAATGTAGGGTATTGCCTGCCTGGCCCCTCCCTCCCCTTAGCGGTGAAAGAAGACAATGAACAAATACGGTTAGAAACACAGTGTCCGGCCATGACAATAAAGAGTATTCGAGCAGGGTGAGTTGACAGGGTTCATCAGGAAATGTCTGCCGAGGTGACAGGGGGTACTCAAAACATTGAAATCTGGAAAACAGCATTTTGGCAAACAGGGAGCTAGACATAAGGAAAAGATCTGGAACAAGGAGACAGGGACGGGAGTGCCCTATGTTGAGGGGACTGAACAGGAGGGGGGCCATGCAGGCCCCCAAGGACTCTGTGCTGATGAGATGTGTGATGGGAAACCTCGAGGGTCCCAAATGCACACCACACACCTGTGTGAAGCACTGTCTGGATGCAGGAGACCTGCTGAAACGCACGCAGCTGCCCAAGGGGGAGGCCATGATGGAGTGGACCCAGCTGGGTGGTAGCAGAGGCTGAACGAAGGGGATAGATTTGGGACATCTTCTGAGGTTTGGTTTTTGAGGTAGAGGTGACCAGATCCGCTGATGAATTTAATTACTACTATCAATAACATAGTCAGCTGTGTCCTAACACAAGGGTTATAAGGGGAATTCCAGTGTAAAAATAGGATAGGTGTATATATTGAGACAATGTTCACACAAGCCTTACATGAGGGGGCCTCAAACATTCATAGAAAAACTTCATTTTCCACCAACTTCTTGGGAATCCCCTTATTATCAGCAATCTTTCCATCAAGCACATTTATTTTTGCACAATGATTCGGACTATTCTTACAGACCTCTAAGGCCTTGCTCATACAATGACTTAAGTACTCACGGGATGCTGGGAACAGGAGCTGACATTCCAAGAGGAAAAATAACATTTAGAACGAAAGTCACAAGGCATACTGGCAGTTTTACATTACAAAAAGAAAACAAAGTATAATTACCATTTGTATAATTTTTCCAAGAGGCTCATCAACATTTTCAATATCAAACCGACCAGGGGGGGCAGCTGCCATTTCTTTTCTTAGCTTCTCATTCGCCAAGGCCATCTGGGGGAGGAAGGACTGAACCTGGTCCAACACTAAGAGAAAAGACAGGAGCATGCATGTGAACATTTGGCCAACCTTCAATGTCCCAAACCCACAATTCTTATAAAGCACTTCTGGATCTAATAATAATAAACATTTCAAGCCTCTTCTGTTTTCAAAAACTCCCACTGTTCTTCTGAATATTAAAAGCTACTAGTAGGACTACCCTGTTTCCCTGAAAGTAAGACATCCCCCGAAAATTAGACCTACTTAGTTTTGCCTCTCACTGAAATATAAGGCACCCCCCCGAAAATAAGCCCCCCCCCAGAGCTACCGTAACTCTGGACTCTGGACCATAGCTGCGGGCGCTGCCGTGCAGCTTACTGTTGGCCGCAGTGGAGCCGGAGCAGACAGGAAGTGCGAGGTGTCTTTTAATAAAACAATAAATAAATGTGTACCGTATTCTTCTTCATGGAAAAATATGACATCGCCTGAAAATAAGACCTAGTGCATTTTTGGGAGCAAAAACTAAATAAGACACTGTCTTATTTTCGGGGAAACAGGGTATATACATTTGACAATAAATTACTCATGGCTATCTTCATTCGAACTCCTCTATCCCAGGGCTGTACACGGCAAGAAGACGGGCATTCTCAACGAGTACTGACTAAGGAGGGCCTATGACTTAACAGTAAAGCACCAGGCTCAGGGTAAGACAAATGAGGTGACCTAGACAAGCCCAGTCCCATGACATGGTGGCACAGGAATTAAGTGCTTGGCTAACAGAAAGATCAGTGGTTTGAACCGCCAGCCACTCTCTGCGGGAGAAAGGTGTGGCATAACCATGGCAGCCTTGGAAAGCCTGCCAAGTTGCTCTACTGCCCTGAGAAGTTGCCATTTGAATTGGAATCAACTTGCTGGCCTTGGGCTTCTCACCGCTTACTACTTTTCCTGGGCAAGTTAATTACGAGGTGTGGTTTTTACCTGCTTAACCTCTATTCTCTTCTTCTTCTATGTAACAAAACTTGACTTTCTGTTTAAGCTCCTCTGATGCTTAATCACGCTTGTCGCCACACCAGGCTCTGACATACTCCGAACCACCTTGGCTACCACAATTTGGTTTGCTGGCATGCCTGGGGGCAGTGATCCAGCCAGATCACTAAGAGATCACCTGGGACAGGTGTCTGAACTGTTGGGAAAGAGAGCCCTTCTTTGTGGTGGCTTCTCGAGCTGCAGTACTTAAGTCAGGCACTACTGATAGCGGGGCACCTTGCTATACAAGCCAGATTAAGCAGCCGAGGGAAGCAGAGCCAAGACAGAGACCAGCCTGCTGACACTTAACACGCTTGTTTTGTTTTCTCAATGAAATGAGCCAGGATCATTTCTTTTCTTTCTTTCCTTTTTACCCCTGCAATCACTCTGAGTGAGGTTTCAGTCGTGTGTAACCAAAGGAGTCCTGAGCGGCTCACTCAAACTAACCATGCAAGTGTATCAGGGTGATAAATGCATCGCCAGGACTAGAGGAAGACTCATAACAGACGGCCATATGCAGGCAATCCACCCCGTTTACTGAAAGTGCAGGGGACCTAACACATTTACTGACGAAGGTCACAGATTACATACAGCCTTCTGCATGGATTATACCTCAACATAAAGACGTTTGCGAAAGGTGGACAATGAATAAGGAAGATAAACTGATACCTTTGAGCTATGGTCTTGGTGAAGACTGACTATAATCTGTCTTGGAAAGCGTACAGCCATGGAGCGGCTGGTGGCTTTGAACTGTCCACTTTGCAGTTAGCTGCTCAGCATGTAACCACTATACCACCAGGGCTCCAAAAGCAAAAACTAAATGATCCAAAAGGAAACACAGAGCCCTATCAAGTGGTCTCACATACGTGTAATTGGAGTTCAATGTCAGGAAAAAATTTGCTTAAGCCCAAATTTTCCAAATTTGAAAAAAGCTACAAATCCCAAACTGACAGGCTTAATAAACCCCAAGTAGAACAAATTGAAAAAAAAACTACATCTACTTGCAGCATAGTTTGCTAAACATCAATAAACAGAGTCTTAAAAGAAGGGAAAAGACTTGATACAAAAGGCAACAAATAGAATGAGAACAGACACCTTTCGACAGAAACCCTGTAAGCCCCAAGAGCTCATCTCTGTAGAACTGAAAGGGAAAATGTCAGCCTTGGACTCCATGCCTAGCAACTTTCATAAATGCTGCAAAATGAAGGAACATAAAGAAAAGCTTTCACAGATACACACAGAGATGCCTGGTCAAAGGTCCGTACAAAAATGTCCACAACGCTTTATCCATAATAGCCAAAACCGGATTTGCAAACTATTCCTTAATAAAATTCCATTTTAGAATAGTATTGAAAATGGATTTTTGACAAAATTGACCAGCAAAATTCAACAAGGAGTAGACAATAGTTTCTGAGAGGGTGCTCGTGGATTTCCACTGTTAACCAAGACGGAGTAGAGATTTACCTTCCTGCCTAAAACTAAAAATTCTAAACGATGGAAAACAAACAATTTTCCCATGTTGGCCACCAGACAGTATAAGGATCCTGGAAAGAGGAGAAGTGGCAGCAAGCTTTATGATGACCCCGGCCCACTGCCCGGAAAGAGCTCCTGGTCCACAACGAAGGGAGGCAGAATCAGTACCTAGTGGGCTAGTGGGTCTGCGAGTGTGAGTCCAGGTCAACCTTCTGTTCTGGGCGGATTTGAACGCTAGGACTCGGCCAATGCCCTTCTGAGAACTCTACTTGATGCCTATGTGTTAAGAATTTTTCCTATTCTGGTGGGAACTCCTGCTCCCTAAACTGAGGAGATGGAAAGGACGCGTGGAGAGGCCAAGGTGGATAGAGTATGGGAGCGAGGACGATGCACACAGAAAGAGCTCCAGATGTCTACCAACAGTCCCCACCGGGGTTCAGTGCACGACACCGACACGAGGGAACTACCGAGGAGGTGGGAGCAACTACCGAAAAGGAGCAGAAGACACTTGGAGCGGACAGAGGCTCAAAGAGACCACACGCACCAAATGTTTACATTCTCAGGACATGAGGTACAGTAATCACAGGAGCAGTGTACATTGTGGGTAAAAATTGGGCGTAGGTTAAATGCTGTTTGGTTCCACCGAACAATGCTTGGCAGAACCCATCTGTTTCACAAGTGACTTGGGTACACTCACAACAAAGCTGAAAAAGACTTGAATACAAAAATATCCAGCACTGTGTAAATATCCATGGAAACGTAAGTACTGGTCTCTCCCCATCTGGAGCACAGAAGGGGGAGGGTGTCACACGATACATGGAAACAACTAGCCTACTGGAGCGCTGGAATACCAGCCTTTATAACCCTGACACCAGAAGAACTAGATGGTACCCAGCTACCACTACCAACTGCTCTGAAAGGGATCACATTAGAAGGTCTTGGCTAGAGTAGCAGAAATTTTTGGAACTTAAAATCACAAAAGAGAACAAGCTTATTAGAAAAAATTGAGACTGGCAGAACCCCTGAGACTTATGATCATGATGTCATCTTTTGGGTCTGGAACTGAACTTACCCCATGACTCAAGGTTAGCCAAATGACAAGCAGGTCTGTAATGGGATCAATAGTATTAGTAGGAATACATTTCTTAGAATGTTCATCCATTTGAGATAAAAAAGACAAGGCTCAGAAGGGTTAGGAAAGGAGTAGACTGTAAGTAGGAGAGACAGAGAGGAAGAAGGATAAAGTGATGCTACAGGGGGGGATTGCAAGCAATGATATAAAACAAGAGACATGCATAAATTATTGAATGGAAAACTGATTTGCTGTGAAAACATTAACCCAAATTGTAATAAAAAGCTGCAAAGTTTAAAAAAATGAAATACAATCCAGCCGCCAAGAAGATGAAAGTTCATATTTTACACCCAGTAAAATTTAACAGACATAAAAAGACGTAGGAAAGTTTAATTCATGGTAAGAAAAATCCATCTAAAACACAGACCCAGAAATGTCACAGGCACAGCATGAGGAATGAACAGGAAAAAATCTACTGTAATTCCCTGTGCTCAAGAATCTAGAAGACTGGGCATGTTACATTCCGTCATGGAAAAAGAGCCAACCTGAACATGCAGAGATGGAAACAGGATCTGAAACAATGTTACGATTAACAGGTGATGATAAACTATAAAAGAAATGAGTACTGTACTTGAGGACAAAGGAATACGAACTATCCAAAATGAAACAGGAGAAAAGAAGGCACCTCCCCGGAAAAATGAAGTGAGCATCACTGAGCTGGGGGGCAATTTAAGCACAACATTAAGTCTCACAGGCGTCACTGAAGGAAAGGATCAAGATGGAGAACAGGGAAACTGTTTTTTTTTTAAGGAAAGAGCAGGCTGTGGGGAACCAGTCTCCATAGTCATTAAGTCCTAGCGGCGGTTGTGAAATTGAAGGGTAAATTAAAGAAACTTCAAACAAGGCAGGCAAGGGTTCATGACAACCAGAACCAGAGAGGGGGGAATGTATTCTCTCACACCTCTATATAATCTCCCGCATGCAAATACGTAACAGGAAGGTAATGTATTAGAGGCATACGAGTAACAAGAGGGTACATACATAACAAGATGGGTGGGTTCTAAAGTTAAGACGGCAGTTTAACCTTGGTCGTCCCTGAGCTGGCTTGGCCTTAGGTCTCTGAGTTTTTCTCCAGGGAAGCAATCTATGATCCTTATCAGAAGGGAGTAGCCATACTTTGGGTGGGTGGGTGGTCTGACCACTCTTGTGAAGGCAGACAATCTTCTGGCAAACAGTCTTCAAGCCGTTAACCTTCAAGCATATAGTAGCAACCATGTGCTTGCAAACAGCACCTGACAATTGGCATTATTATAGGGGACATCGTGGGGAACAACTCTAGTTAGGAGAATGTGACCGGCATTCGTCTCCAACCCACAAATATGAAGGCCTCCCTCCACGAGCCTCGATCTCCCAGAATTCTTAAAATGTAAGCATAGAGCATTTGTGTGAATACACTCTATTCCCCGTTCTCAAGTTTCCCACAGTGGGCAAAAGTTTTTTCCAAAACACATCTGGAAAGTTCAACAAAGCTCAAGAATCACAAGGAAAAATACTCCAAGCTACAGTACCATCAAGCTGGTGAAAAACCAGTGACAAAGAAAAAATTCTTGTTTTTAGATCATTTTATTGGGGGCTATTAGAGCTCTTATCACAATTCATACATCCATCCACTGTGTCAAACACATTTGTACATATGCTACCATCATTTTCAAAATATTTTCTTTCTAAATGATCCCTTGGTATCGGCTCACACCCCAACCCCCTCCCATGAAGCCTGACGGGAGACTTAATTTTGTGCTTAAATTGTCCCCCAGCTCAGTGGGGCTCACTTCATTTTTGTGGTGAGGTGCCTTTTTTTCTTTGTTTCATTTTGGATAGTTCGTATTCCTTTGTCCACAAGTTCACCAATAATTTCTTTTATATCATCAACTGTTATCTTTTATATCATCAACTGTTAATCGTAACCATTGTATTTTTTTCATGTCTTACACCGACCGCTGTCTCCCTTCACCCATTTTCTTGTTGTCCGTGCCCCTGGGGTGTGCTGTGTCTTACATGTCGATCATTGTGATTAGTTCCCCACTTTTCCCTACACCTTTCCTCTACCCTCCTGGTATGGATACTCTCATTATTGGTCCTGAGGGGTTTATCTGTCCTGGATTCCCTGTGTTGCAAACTCTTATCTGTACCAGTACATGCTCTAGTCTAGCCAGATTTGTAAGGTAGAATTGGGGTCATCGTAGTCGGGGAGAGGAAGCATTAAAGAACTGGAGGAAAGTTGTATGCTTTGTCGGTGAGAAAAATTCTTAAAAGTAGTTTAGAGAAAAGGAAATTGTATCCAGGACAACTGTAAGACAGCTGACCTCATTAGAGACCAACTAAGTTCTCCTACTTATTGTGATTTCTTAGTTTATAGAAGCATTCACCCCGTGCATCATTTACATCCTTTTCCATTGGATTCTTATCTTTATTGTCTCTGTTTAACACCAAGATAAAATTATTCAGATACTGAGCATTACATGAATGGCCATAGAAAGGCTAAGAGTCACAAATCGATGGCGAGGAGGGTGTAGGAAGCCTGGTAGGGCTTGATCAAGGGCAAGGAATTACTGAAACCCAAATGAAGGCTGAACATGATGGTGGATCAAGAGGAGAGTAAAAGGAAATAGAGGAAAGAATAGGAGGCAACAGACATTTATAGAGGTCTAAATACAGGCATGTACACATGTAAATATATTTATGTGTAACAAGAGAGAAACAGAACTATGTACTCATATCTATATGTTAACAATAAAGGTTGCAGATGGACATTGGGCCTCTACTCAAGTACTCTCTCAATGCAAGAACACTTTGTTCTATTAAACTGGCATTCCATGATGCTCACCTTCCCTACATGATCACTGAAGACAAAGTGGGTACATAAGCAAATGTGTTGAAGAAAGCTGATGGTGCCTGGCTATCTAAAGATGTAGCATCTGGGGTCTTAAAGGCTTGAAGATAAACAAGTGGCCATCTAGCTCAGAGAAGCAACAAAGCCCACATGGAAGAAGCACATCAGCCTGTGTGATCACAAGGTGTCGATAGGATCAGGTATCAGGCATCAAAGAACAAAAAAAATCATATCATTGTAAATGAGGGGGAGTACGGAGTGGAGACCCAAAGCCATCTGTAGGCAACTGAACATCCCCTGACAGAAGGATGATGGAGAGGAGATGAGCCAGTCGGGGTGCAGTATAGCACCGATGAAACATACAACTTTTCTCTAGTTCTTTTTCCTCTAGTTCTTTAATGCTTTCTCCTCCCCACTATCATGATCCCAATCTACCTTACACATCCAGCTAGACCAGAGCATGTACACTGGTACAGATAAGAGCTGGAAACACAAGGAATCCAGGACAGATAAACCCATCAGGACCAATAATGAGAGTAGTGATACCAGGAGGGCAAGGGAAAGGTGGGGAGAAAAGGGAAACTGATCACATGATCTACATATAACTCCCTCCCAGGGGGATGGACAACAGAAAAGTGGGTGAAGAGAGACATCGGACAGTGTAAGACATTAAAAAAAAATTATAAACTCTCAAGTGTTCATGAGGTGGGGTGGGGAAGGAGGGAAAAATGAGAAGCTGATGATACCAAGGGCTCAAGTAGAAAGCAAATGTTTTGAAAATGATGATGGCAACAAACGTACATATCTGCTTGACATAATGGATGGATGGATGGATGGATGGATGGATGGATGGAGGGAGGGATGGAATGGTGGGGAGAAATGGGGAACTGATCACAATGATCTACATATAACCCCCTCCCTGGGGGATGGACAATAGAATAGTGCGTGAAGGGAGACATTGGTCAGTGTAAGACATGAAAAAATAATAATAATTTATAAATAATCAAGAGTTCATGAGGGAGGGAAGGGGAAAATGAGGGGCTCAAGTAGAAAGCAAATGTTTTGATAATAATGATGGCGACAAATCTATAAATGTGCTTGACACATGGATGGATATATGGATTGTGAT